AAAAATAAAATAAAAAGTCTCCTTTTCAAGGTCAGAATTCTGTGGATAAGGAAAAAAGCTCATACCCATAACCAGATTTAGCTGCAGATTAAGCCCTGTCAAAAGTCCCTTGAAAGCAGTGCTCAGATAGACTGCACCTCTCTTAAGGCCAACATAGGGCAACTCCTTATTCAGAACTGCTGCTGTGCTTGTGTGCGCCCCACCTTAGGCTGAGGGGGACCATGGTCGCACAGTCAGCAGCCAGAGTCACGGTCCACTTCGCACTTAACATCTAAGTTTGTACAGACACACACACACACACTTTGCACTTCACACACACACAGACACACACACATTGCACTTCACACACACACTTTGCACTACACACACACGCGCGCGCGCACACACACACACACACACACACACACACACACACACTCGCCTCCACCCCCAGGTCAGGAGACCGCAAGCCCAGCAGCGGGGCAGGGCTGGGCCGCCCTGAGTCAGCTGGCGGCGCGCGCACCGCGTGACCCGCGGCCACGTGACCCGCGCGGGCCCAGCCGCCAATGCTGTAACCTTCGCAGCCGCGGGAAGCGTGCGTGTAAGTGGGTACGTTCCAGCCGGAGCCCCCGACCCCCGGACCTGGGTCACTGGCGGGCCGAGGGGCAGCGCGAGCGCAGTCTGGGAGGGGGACGGATGGCAAGCCACCTGCCCTCCTGCCGCAGGCTTATCTGTATCCCTTGGTACTTTGGGGGAAACTAAGGACCCAGGAAGCACCCTCCCTCCTCTGCAGGACTCGCCGCCTCCTCCTCTAGTGCCCCAAGGTGACCCCGTGGCACCTCTGGTAGCGAAGGGAGCTCGAGGCAGAGAACCCGGCCTGGGTGAGGATGAGGATGTGGGCAGGAACGGGCCCTGCTGCTAGGTGACTCCATGCTGTGTGGTTCCAGTGCCCTATCGTGAGATCGAGGAGGCACTGACCCACTCCGTTTACGCAGGAAGAAACGGGTCCAGAAAATTCTGGGGCGTTGGGTGGTCCTCCCCAGCCAAGGATGGCCCCACAATACCGCCTCCTGGTGGTCAGTGGAGGCACCCGGCCTAGGCTGTTGCCAGGCTAGAGAGACTCTGCCCCCCTCCCCGGCCTTCTCTGCCCCCTGCCCTTCCCTTAATTCAGCCTGTTATCTCCACGCTGCAGGACGAGATGAAGCTCATTATCCTGGACCACTATTCCCAGGCCAGCGAGTGGGCGGCCAAGTACATTAGGAACCGCATCATCCAGTTTAACCCAGGGCCTGACAAGTACTTCACCTTGGGGCTCCCCACCGGTATGCTGTGGGAAAGGGGGTGGTGTGCCGAGGGGCGGACAGAGGTCGCTGGAGCCCTTTAAAGGGGTCAGGATCATGGGCTCACTTAGCCCAGAGACTTTAAAAGATGGATTAAAATACTGTTGCCCTGGTGTCCTCCCCGTAGAGAAGAAAGGCACCGGGCTTCCTATATGGGTTGCTTTAGTGGCTGCCTATTCCTGCAAAATCCTGGAACAGAAGGAGTCTTGGTGAGGCAGTGTTAGTCCTGAGAAAAACCAATTCCACGACTAATTAAAGCAAGCCTTATTAAGAGGTGCACCAGGAACTAGCCAGCCAGCTGCTTCTGGAACCCAAAGTGGGGATTTCAGAAGGCAACATTGGAAGTAAGGAAGACAAGGCTTCTGTAGATCTCAGGGATAGGGATTCTAGATTAGGGGTGGGGACTTAGGCGGGGTGATGGGAACAGAATATAACAGGTGGTCAAAGCAAGGAAATCACAAATGGTAGGTATAACAAGGCCGTAGGGGGTCGTATAACCTTTTGAAACAAATGTAGGGTCTCGAGATGGTTACAGACAACTTTTTGAAACAAAGACACGATTACCGTTCCTGGGACAGGCAGCGCAAAGCCATTTGTAGTTAAGGTTACAGGTGGGGTATAGCCCAATCCTTGAGAAACAGAGGTTTTATCATAAACATGAATGAAGCTAGTTCATCTTTACTATAAGATGGCTTTTAAGCCTAGGATAGAAGCAGGCTGGTTCCTTAGCAGTAGTGGCATCCTAACTCAACCCTGGTGCCCTGAGATGTTCATTTTATGGGGTTAATTTCTGTTCTCTGCATGTAGGGGGTACTAGCTAAGTACTGGTCATGGGAGAATTGAGAAGTTAGTCATTCAAATAATTTTCCATAAAACTTAACTGATTATAAAACCCAATGTCTTCTGAAAAAACAGTGTTACCTTTACAGGGAGGTACTTTGGTCCAGTGCCTCAAAAAAGTATCCTAAGTATTTCTTTCCCAAGTGGGGATATTGGTCATCGTGGTTTTGTCTGACCCATCCACAAGAAAGAGGCCTTCAGACTTTTGCAGTAAATAATATAGCAGCAAATGTTTCAGGCTTCAATATTATAGCTCCTTATTCTGCCGCTGTAGATAGGAAAACAGCCACAGACAATATGCACACGAATGTGTAGCTCCATCAATAAAACTTTATCTGTAGACACTGATGTAATTTTTATATGTCATGAAATAGTCTTTTGATTTTTAAAAACTATATTAAAAGTTTAAGACCATTCTTGGGACTGGGGAGATGGCTCGTCAGTTAAGAGTACCGCTGTCTTGCAGAGGACCCTAGTTCAGTTCCCGGCACCCATATTAGTATGCTCACGACCCTCTGTAACTCCAGCTCCAGGAGCTGCAGGGCCTCTTTAGGAGTCTGTAGCTGCCTGCACTCACACATACATGTAATTGAGAGGGAAACTTTTGTTTTTTTTGTTTCTTGAGGCAGGGTCTCACTAGGTAGCCTTGGCTGGCTTGGAGCTGGCTATGTAGACCAGACTGGTCTCAAACTCAGAGAGATCCACCGACCTCTCTCCCTAGTGCTGGGATTAAAGGTGCGCTACCATGCCTGGCAAGTAAGTACTTTTAGCTGCTGAGCCTCCTCTCCATCTCCACTCAGTAGATGAGTCTTTGAGGGCCTGCTGTAAGCCAGGCAGTTAAGGTTCTAGGGATAAAGCAACAACACTAAAAATAAAAAAAAAAAAAAAAAGAACATAAATTCCTACTTCCCAAAGCTTAAATTATAGTGGTGAGAGAGAGAGGGTAAACAAGTTAATTAGCAAAATGTAGAGTATTTTAGGAGGGAACAGAAGAGAAAGGCTGCACAGGAGAAGGCTGGGGAGCGTGCTTAGTGGGGAGCTGTGTCAGATGTGGGGGCACAGAAGGCCTCTGGGAAAGTCCGAAGAAGTGAGTTAGCCATGAAGTTGCTTGAAGGAAGAGCACGGCCAGTAGAAAGGACTGGGTGTAAAGGCCCTGAGGTGAAGCCTTGGGCTTGGGCAGTCTCTGTGAGATTAGTTATTATGGGGCAGAAAGGAGACGTTCGTGGATTTTGGAAAGGAGTGATGATCTCGGCTGGGTGAGGTTGAGGTTTTCCTTTCTATATCTTTTTAGTTTAATTTTTTTTCAAATATTTAAAAGAATTGAAATCAGCAGTATGGTATCATTTGCCTAGAATCACCAATTAATATTGTAGTACATTTTACTTTTTTCTCTGGTTCTTGTTCTCTGTCTACCCTTATAAAATTTGTTGTTGGAGTCGCGTGACAGTCAGTTCCAGACACCGTGACCCTTTACCCTAAATCTTGCGGGCCTTACCTCCCAGGAATGAGGACAGTTGTTGATAGCCCTAAGGCCCAGTCTGCACAGCATTCTGCAGTATCCTCTAATACACAGCCTGTGTTCAGAACCTTTCCTCGGGAGTCTACATGAGTTTTTATTCTTCTCCTTGTCTGTAGGCCTGGTTAGGGACTAATCTTGTGCTTCAAGCCTCCTGTTGGCCACATCCTCATCTCGGAAAAGTTAGTTTTTGGTTAACCCAGTATCCAATCAGGGTTCTTGTATGTTTGTTCTTTTTTCTTCCATGTAGCTGGGGATGGGGCCCATCTCTGCACCATGCCCTCAGCTCGGCTCTTCCGTCTTTTACCCTCTTGTGGTCCTGTCTTTTGTTTGCTTACCTGTTCATGAGACTCAACCAGGACTTTGCTATTGTTCTTATAAGTCTTCCCCGAACTCTGAAGCACAGCTTACATCTCTGCTGTGTCTCCATTTCTGCATAGTGGTCTCTCTCTTCTAGGGTAGTTGCCTCTGTCTTCTCATTGTTGATGTTTGTAGAACATCACATCAGGAATCGAGTCTGGCAGTCACTCAGATACTGGCTAGTGACCCCTTTAGCTGACGGAGACCCTCACCGTCCTGACTCCTGGAATATAACAGTCTAAAGGGCGTTAGACACCAGCTCACAGTAGACGGATGGTAGGTGGGGCTGGAGCATAGGGGGGGACTGCAGATCTGACGTTCCTAATGCTTCTTGCAGGGAGCACCCCACTTGGCTGCTACCAGAAGCTGATCGAGTACTATAAGAATGGAGACCTTTCCTTTAAATACGTGAAAACCTTCAACATGGATGAGTATGTGGGTGAGTGTCCTTCATGTTCTTCCCTGCGCTAGGGGTATCATGTTCCTCTCACGGACTCAGCTTGGAGAGAGAGGAATGTCTTGGAGGTGATTGTCTCCGGCAGCTTGGCTTTACCCGGCTGTATGATGGGACTCACCTTAGTAGTCAGGGTAACAGAGGCCATGATTGATGCAGAGGCTTACTGTGCATAGCAGACATTTTAGCAAATACTTAGTAACTATGAAGGTGCCTTCCCCCTGCTTGGTTCCCCACTCCCTGCCATTTCTCTTTGGACACCTGCAGATGAGATTCTGGAGTCCAGGCTCTGTGTGTGTCCTGTTTGCTCACATGTGTCCTTCAGCTCCTTTCTGACCCCTAGGTGGAGGCTGAGACTTGTGCCTTTGGTCTTCTGTCCTCACCTCCTGCTACCCTGTGGTTTCATTTTAAAGGTTAAAAAACAAACAAGCAAACAAATAGAAACCTGATAAAATAAACATTAACCATCTTCAAAACTGGGGGTTTGAAATAGCCCAACTACTGGGTTAGGGAAAGGGTGGGTAAGGCAGGGGGTTGAGTTAGCCTAGAGAACTGAGGGCAGCCTGGGAAACACAAGCATTTCTGGCTGAAAAGCACAAAACCAAGGCTGGAGGGGTGGCTCAGTGGTGAGGAACACATACGGGCTTTAATTCCAGCACTAGGAAGGCAGAAGTAGTAGGATCTCCGTGAGTTTAAGGTCAGCCTGTTCTGCACAGCAAGATCCACATAGCCAGGGTGACACAGAGAGACCCTGTCTCAGTCCCACTCCCTGCTAGAGAAGGAACGTATACTGCCCTTGCAGAGAACCCAAGTTCAGTTCCCAGCACCCACATCAGGTGGCTCTCAACCTCCTGTAACTCCAGCTCCACAGGATCTAACACTTTCTTCTGCCTCCATGAGCACTACACCCGTACCCCCGCCCCAGCCGCCAGACACCTTTTTCTTGAGCACGTGTTAATGTTGAGTTCACCACATTCACACCACTGTGACCCCTCAGCAGAACGCTCACCCTGCAGAGCTGAGACTTCCTGTCAAACTGCTCCCCAGTTTTCCTTCTCTCGAGGTGCTGGAAACCACTGTGTTTGCTCTGTTCCCCAGAACCTGACTTCTCCAGGCACCCCATGTAAGTCAGGTCACGGATACGTTTGGCTGTTTGTGCCTGGCTTCTTCACATAGCATTCATTCAATCATTTATGGTATGGACCAGATGGTTTTTGTTTCCCCTTTTGTTTTTTTGTTTTTTTTTTTTCTTAAATAGGATCCTGCTGTGTAGCCCAAATTGGCCTGGAACGTGTGATCTTCCCACTTTTCCTCTCGAGTGCTAGGGTTACAAGTGTGCCCTGCTGTGCTCAGCAATTTATTTATTTCGTCTTAAAGACTAAATGTATTTTGAAAATTACATCTAGGGTGTGTGTGTGTATATCAGAGGATTGCTTGCTGGAGTTCGTTATGTCCTTCCACCATGTGACGTGGGTCCTGGAGATCAGGCCATCAGCTTGGTGGCAAGCACCTTTACCTGCTGAGCCATCTTGCCACCTGTACTTTTTGTTTTTGTTTGTTTGTTTTGAGACAGGATCTCACTATATGACCTGGTTTTCCTGGAACCCATTCTATAGATCTGGCTGATCTCAAACTCAAAGATCCACCTGCCTCTGCTTCCCCAGAATTGGGATTAAAGGCTTTTGCCACTAACTCTTGGCCAGCCCTACTTGTAAATATGTTTTGAGACAAATTTTCCTTTGATTTTGGCATAGCTGAGGATTGAGCCCAGCACCTGAGGTATGCATGGCAAGTGTTCTGCCCCTGATGAACATTCTCGGTCTCTGATTTAAAACGTTTCAAGTGTTTTGCCACAGGGTCTCACTATGCAGCCTTGGCTGACTTAGAATTTACTGTGTAGATAGATCACACTGGCCTTGAACTCCTAGAGATCCTCCCCCTGCCTTTGTCTGGTATTAAAGTCGTGACTTTAAATAATCTTCACATTGAGATTATTTTTAAACTCCTTTCAGTTTTGAGAAGCTCTCTTATTCTCTTCAATCACTTAATGTTCAAGTTGAAGTTCAGACTTAGTGGGAAATAATAGAAGCAGGGGTAGGATAGAAGGTTCAGGGTAAGGATGTGGTTGCATCCATTACCCATGGACTCGGTCTTCCCACCCAGGTGGACAAGCCACCTCCAGCTGCACAGTGTTCCTAGACTCCAGCTTGTGATCATTCCCTTATGAAAAGGTGATGATGACTGTGTGCCCCTCTCCAACCCCAAGCTGGTGCAAAGGCTCAAACTGAGGCTCTCACACACGCTGTGCAAATGCTCTACCATTGCGCTACAGTGGGGATCAGAATGAGATCTCCCAGTTCTCAGCCCACCCCCACCAGTGTGCAGTTACCGCCCAGCCCAGCCAGTCCTACGTGGCTGGGGTCAGTTGGGTAGTCTCCTAGTTGACTCCCAGTGTGATCTCCTAGCGTGGTCCTTGGGAGGAGGGCTCGGGCTCACCCCTGGCCTGATCGAGGATCCCCTGACCCCACAGGTCTGCCTCGAGAGCACCCGGAGAGCTACCACTCCTTCATGTGGAATAATTTCTTCAAGCACATTGACATCCACCCTGAAAACACCCACATCCTGGATGGGAACGCAGCTGACCTGCAGGCCGAGTGTGCTGCTTTTGAGGAGAAGATCCAGGCTGCAGGCGGGATCGAACTCTTTGTTGGGGGTGAGCACAGCTCAGAGAGAGGCTCTGTCTTTAGGAAAGAAGAGAAAGGAAAACCAGCGGAGGGGAGGGCAGGAGTTTGCAGGTCCTGCTTGCTTACAAAGTCAGCCATCCTGGTTTGCTGGACTCTGGCTCCGGGCCAGAGGAAGGGAGAATTAGCACTTCCCCAGTCTGGAGTGCCAGGGAAGCATTTTACACAATTCTAGCTGAGGGTGGAGGCAAGTTCCCAGAGTCTGTGCCTCAGGTAGAGGCGGTGGGAGGGAGGTCACAGCTTGAGGTAGACCTGACTTAGGGCACAGATGAGAGAAGAAATGTAGCTTTCCAAGATTTCAAAGAGAAGGGGTGACTGTCGTTTTTGAAGTTCTCAGTCTCTGGTACTCATGGCTGCTCTACCGTCTCGACAGGCATCGGCCCGGATGGACACATTGCTTTCAACGAGCCGGGCTCCAGTCTAGTGTCCAGGACCCGTGTGAAGACCCTGGCCATGGACACCATCCTGGCCAATGCTAGATTCTTTGATGGCGATCTTGCCAAGGTGCCCACCATGGCCCTAACAGTGGGCGTAGGCACTGTGATGGACGCTAGAGAGGTAAGGGTTCAAGGCCTGTCTGCCAGTCTTCGCTAAGGCTTAATTTATTGTTAATTTCAAGCTATACAGGCACCAAGTATATATTTTTATTAACTAACTTTTCATAAATAAAGCTAAAATCCCAACTGGCCTTGACACCGCTTCTCTTCTGCCTTTGGAGATAAGGTCATGCCTGGGGTGAGGGCAATCGTCTGAGCATTTTGTTGATGCCTTGGGGACCAGAGACTGGGCCAGCTGTCTCTGCTACTGTACCTCTTTTATACAGCTGTGGGCAGAAGCTTCCAGCACCACTAGCGGAGAACCAAGACTTTTACCTGCCTGGGTACTGACCAGACGCTTTTGGTCCCTGTGGTTGGTCACTGTTTGAAAGGACTCCGCTTCTGCAGCCCAAGGATGCTGTGTCTGTAGCCCAGTGCTTGAAGGCGATAAATGCCGTTAAATTGATTAGAACATTTTAGACTGAATTTAGTGACTTTTTTCTCTTAGAAAATCACATATTTTAATTTTATTTTTGTGTTCCAGTTTCCTTACTGCGTTTGAATTATACTTTATCGTATTTTTATCTTTTTTTTAAATGTTTATTTATTTATTATGTATACAGTGTTCTGCCTGTGTGTATGCCTGCAGGTCAGAAGAGGGCACTAGATCTCATTACAGATGGTTGTGAGCCACCTGTGGTTGCTGGGAATTGAACTCAGGATCATTAGAAAAGCAGACAGTGCTCTTAACCACTGAGCCATCTCTCCAGCACCCTCATATTTTTCAAAATCGTCTCTTTCCTTTTTTGAGAAATGGTTTCTTTGTGTAGTTCTGGCTGTCCTGGAACTCATTCTGTAGACCAGGCTGGCCTTGAACTCACAGAGATCCACCTGCCTCTGCCTCCTGAATGCTGAGATTAATGGTGTGCAACATCACCACCTCAAAATGATATTTCTCATTGTGAGTATCTGCATGTGCCTGTATATGTGTGTATGCAATTGCAGTCACAGCACTCTCATGGAGCTCGTGGGACAACTTTTCTGAGTCAGTTCTCTCCTTCCGCCACCTGGGACCCGGGGACAGACAGACCTGAGGTTGTCAGGCGAGGCTGCAGGCACCTTTACTTACTGAGCCGTTCACTGGCTCGTGTTTGAATTTTAGAAGCACTTCCTTTTTCTTTCCTAGGTATTACACTCTGTGGGAAATAGCTGTAGATCACTTTCCAATGTCTTTGCTCAAGTCGGTGAGAAAGCTTTTAAATCAGTGGAAAAGTAAGCTTTGGTGAATTAAGGTACCTGGACTTCCGCTGGGTGGCCTGAGGCAGTCCCTCTGGGTCTGCTTGCCTCTCGGAAGCACAAGGGTTTGGCGGCTAGGCACTCCAGAGCCGGCTTCCGACTTGGATAATGGACCAAGGGCGGGATGTATGTTAGGGTTTTTAGAACTAAGTCGCCTCCTGTGCCCCTGTGTTCAGTTCTATAAGAAGGGAGCAGTAGTAGCGCACACCTTAAATCCCAGCACTGGGGAGGCAGGGGCAGACACATCTCTTGAGTTCAAGGCCAGCCTGGTCAATGGAGCGAGTTCTGTGCCAGCCAGAGCTGTGCATAGTGAGACCCTGTCTTAAATTTTTCATAAGAAGGAAAGGAGCAGTGATCGTGTTGGTCACTCCATGGTGGGGGTGGAGGACTTCAGATGAAAGGGGTCTGCAGAGCTGAGTTCTTTAGGTTGCCTTTCAGCTCGTGTGTCCTTGGTCTCTTAGCTCTGGAGTGCCACCGCGTCCTTGCTGTCTGTAAACAGAAAACCCCACACCGAGTCACATGAGCACCCCCAGTGATCTGAACTGGAAAGGGCAGATACAGGGGCAACCTTTGTGGGGGTCGACCTCGGGCCCACAGATAACTCCCATCAGGGCTCCCCAAGCTGCCCGTCCCATCACTGGCCTGTCTTCTGGTCCCCAGGTGATGATCCTCATCACAGGTGCACACAAGGCTTTTGCTCTGTACAAGGCCATCGAGGAGGGCGTGAATCATATGTGGACTGTGTCCGCCTTCCAGCAGCATCCCCGCACCGTGTTTGTGTGTGACGAGGATGCCACCTTGGAGCTGAAAGTCAAGACCGTCAAGTATTTCAAAGGTGAGGCTCTGACAGTGGAGAAAGCCCTGGGCAGGCTTGAATGGGAGGGAGGGAGAGAGGAGGGAGGCGGGTGGATCTATCTGGCTTTCATTCTGGGTTTTATTTGCTTTGCTTTATTTATTTGAGTCAGGGTCTCACTGTGTAGCTCTGGCTGACCTAGCTTTGTAGACCAGGCTGGTCTTGAACTCCCAGGGATCTGTCTACCTCTGAGTGCTGGGATTAAAGGATGCACCACCATACCCAGCGTCTGTTTAATTTTTAGTTTTCAGACAGAGACTAACTTTATAGCTTCCAAGTTGTAATCCTGCCTCAGCCTCCTGAGTGCTGGAATTAGAGGCATGACCACCACACCCAGCTTACTCTGGGCATTTTAATCAGCACTTATGTTTTTAATGTGTGTGTGTGTGTGGTGGGGGGTATGTGTGAATTCTGGGGATCGAACTTAGAGGTGAGGCTTGTGCAGCAAGCACCTTTACCCACTGAACTGTCTTGCTGGCCCACCACCTACGATCTCAATAATAATCAAACCCTACAGTTCCACTGTGTCTAGAGATCGTGACTGAGGAGACAAGGAGATATAGTCACAGACCATAGGACTGCAGTAACCTCACAAGCTGTGGAGCCTCAGGTTTCCTCCGCCAGGCATCATACGGGCATTCCTCCTGTAGCTGGGGCACTAGACCAGCTATCTAGGGATCCGTGTTTCCTTTGTTTCGGGATGCCTGCTAGGACAGCTGTAGCTTTTCTAGAGCGCCTGCCCAGCAATCGGAAAACCCTAGTTGTAAGCAAACTTACGTGACATTCCTCACCCATTAAGCAGCTAAATTAGAATTTGCCCTTTGCTAAAAAGATTAATCTTTAACAGCCCACTCCCACCCTGGTAGGGCTGACACAGCTGTGAGCTCTGTCACTCCACAGAACCAACTGTGTTTAGTGTTTGGAGGTCACAGAGATCAAGGTCCTCTTGGGACCACTGGAGCCTCTCTGTGTTCCTCTTGACAGTTGTAACATTGGCCTCTGCCTGCATTGAATATTGTTTGCTTTCAATTTGTTACAGGTTTAATGCTTGTTCATAACAAGTTGGTGGACCCCCTGTACAGTATCAAGGAGAAGGAAATTCAGAAAAACCAGACCACTAAGAAGCCATATAGCGACTAGCCTGTACCAACTCACCGAGTACCTCAGAGGAACAGGCAGGTCTCTCTGGAACTTGTAAGAGAGTAGAATTACTTCGCTTCAGTTCCCTACGGTCGCTGCAGACCCGTGGCTAGGCACATACTGGCTGGGGAGTTTAGCTATGGGGAACATTGTTTATACCTTCTTTTTCAGTCCTGGGGTTTGAACCTAGGGCCTGGCATATGCCAGGTAAGTGTTCTACTAACTTAGCTGTGTCCCCAACCTTCTGCGCCTTTTCGTGATTTATTTTTGTAAAATAGAGATGATTTCCATCATTGACTCATTATACCCAAGTGAGGGCTCTCACCTCTTCATCCCTACACACATGGCCAACACACTCCCGTCGAGAAGCCCTGACTGTATGTGTGCTTGCTCTTGAGTGGGCTTGTGCACTTTGGAGTCTTGAGAGTCCCTCTTCCACAGGTTTGCTCATTGAGAACCTTTGTTCTGAAGAACACACTTGCAGAACCTGAATTGTGCACAAGGAAGCACCTTTCCTGTAGGAACCAAGTCCCTTAGGGAGAAGCTTATCCCTTGCTCCCATTGCCGGGATCTTCTCTTCTTGCTATCAACAGCTAGCCTTTCTGTAAACAGACTTTCTGGGTAGATTTGGACATGGGGTGAGGGGCTAAGGTGGCTTTCATAGATAAACTCAGAGTTTCCAAAGTCCAGCCATGTCTTGTTCTCCCTCAAAGTTCCAACACGAGAAAGGTGGAAGCCCTTTTCCCATCAGAGCTGTTTTTCTCGAAGGATTCTTATACACTCCCTAGTAAGGAGGTCCACTCGGGTGGTAGACATGCCCATGATTTCAGTGTTGTTTACCCAAGATGGAGAGCCGGCACCCGCACATATGTGCTCTCCTGCTTCCTCAGAGCTGAGCGACAAGATTACACACAGGCTCCTCACTTACACCACCTGTGATCCCCCCCACCTCTCAGGCTTGCGAGGTGTCCTCAGATGGTCTCAGCATCAGAAATACAACCCTTGCCTACTTGTCCTTCAAGCCCCCTTTCCAGGCTCCTCTGCTCCCCCTGTGTTTATATTCTCCAGCCTCCGTGGAGTGGTCACTGCCTCCTGCTTTGTCTTTGTACCTGTTGAAGCAACAGCTGCCTATTCCCAGGACAGGTTTTGAGGTCCTGGCAGCCCCTCTAGAATCCAGGGACAGGTTTTGAGGTCCTGGCACCCCTCTGGAAGCACTGTGTTTAGTACCAGCATTTTGTCTCGTTTTTATATGTGACCATGCTGTCATTCTTTGCTAAGATAATGGATCAGTAGACTTTACAATGTGATATTTTCTATTAAATCTAATATTTTCAAATAAGATGTGTCATTTGTGAATTTTGACATTCTCCCGAGCTATTCTTCCATTGTTGTGAAGAGACACCACAGCCAAGGCAACTTACAGAAGAGCATGAACTGGGCACTTGCTCACAGTTTCAGAGGGTCAGCTCGTGGCAGCAGGCAGGCGTGATGCTGGAGCAGCAGCTGAGAACTTACATCTTATCTGCAAGATGGAGGCAAACAAGGAGAGAAACTAGGCCTGGTGCCGGCTTCTGAAACCTCAAAGCCCATCCCCAGTGACACGCCTCCAATAAGGCCACACCTCCTTTCTAAACAAACAGTCTACCAACTGGGAACCACAGCGTTCAAATATATGAGCCTATGGTGGCCATTCTTACTCAGACCGAACCCAGAGTGCAGAAAGTTATCTTCTGAGGATGTATTTGGGCAACCCCTGTAAACATGGTGTTGAGAGGGAAGAGGAGAGTGTGGGTCATAGCCCGTCGTCTGCAGCCCGGCTCTTTTTTCTTGTGCTGTCTGGATGCTGCACACAGGACAGGCTCTGCTCACAGTGCCTACATTTGGAGACCCTGAACGATTAACAGAATGGTACTAAGACAATGGGAAGCTTTTGCCGGGAGCCGGTGTTTATTGTAGCCTGAGGTTGGCATAAACTGAAAAAGCAAAATGAGTTTAGTGCTTTGGGAAGAGTAAGCTACCACTGAACCCCAATCTCCACCAGAGGAGTAACTAAAAGTCAGTTACAAACAAACAAACAAAAAACTGCTTTCACCACAAAATGCGACCCCTGGTCTAACCAGCTACTGTTTTTGTTATCTGTTTCTTGAGTCAGTCTTGCTATTTCACCCAGACTGAACCAAGCTGAGTAGCTGTTGTGTCAACCCACCCAGGTGTGATCAGGGCCAGCGCCTCTATTTTTAATGACATAGTAACTGCTGCCACCTGCTGTCTATGTTCCTAACAATTCTGGGCAGCTGTGACTTCCAGGCAAATTTTTGACATTCATTTTCAAAGCAAGTAGCATACAAATAACATTAAGGTTCTCATCTAATTACTCTTAGCAGAAACATACATATATTAAGAGATTTATGTTAACTAGAACCTTCTACTACTAAAAATGACCCGACTTAAGCTGGGCATGGTGGTACACTCCTTTGATCCCAGCACTTGGGAGGCAGAGGCAGTCAGATCTCTGAGTTAGAGGTAGCCCTGGTCTAAAGTTCAGGTCAGCCAGGGATACGTAGAGAGACTCTGTCTCCAAAACAAAGCGAAACAAGACAAAAAAACAAACAAATGAACAAACAAACAGGAAAAAGGGAAGACAGAAAGGAAGAGGAGAAGGAAGAAGAAAAGAAAAAAGCCAACCCTACTGACCATGATCAGTAGCTCTAGTTAGGCAGATGGAGGCTTTTCCACTTGCAGTCTTTCAACACAGGAAAAGATGAGCCACTGGTCCAGCTGACCGGCCGGCTGGCCCTTCCACACCAATTCAGGACCCACATGGGTTGACAGTCCCCACCCACCCGGGTATTCTCTGTCCAGTGTTTAAATGTTTTTCCTTTCTTCAGAGAACTGAGCAGGGAAAACAACATGGGGTATAAAGGGACTTGAATACCTTTGCTCTGTGGTTTGGGGTGAATTCCCACTGTTTTTGAGACAGGGCCTCGAGTTGCCAGACTGGCCTTGACCTCTGATCTCCCAGTCTTGCCTCCCCCAGTGCTGAGCTTATAAGCATGTGTATCATGCTTTCTTTGCAGCTTATCTATGAATCTAAAATTAAGTTTTTTCTTAAAAACAGCTTAAACAAGACCTTCGCGCTGACTGGACCGGAGGCCCGTCAGTCACCAATCAGTGCTTGCGCCCATAGTCACTACAGCGAACAAGTACATGATGGTGAGGTAGGAAACAGAAAAACGGAGCAATATGCTAGAGAGGCATGGAACTGGAGGCGGTGATGGGAGACAGAGGGCTGAGGTCTACACATTGTCATTGCCTGGTAGGGTCAGCCAGATGGTGTTCAACAGCCTGGAGCTTCTGCAGACAGCCTTGCACCACCTCTCGCCACCCCAACCTGCTGCCCAGCCATGGGATCGCCCTGGCTCTGGGCAACAGTGGAGGCCCAAGATGAGGAAAGGTTCACGTTTGGATTGAACCTCCTCTAGGGACCACCAGCATTGGCCATGTTGGTGTCAGTGGTTTATGCTGCTGCCCCGGACTTCAATGAAACCTGAGACCCCTGCGTTGGTACTGTCTACGACTCTGCCCCGTGGTGATGTCCTCAGGTTTTGCTGCCTCAGGGCGCCAGGCTGCTGTGAGTGGCTTGTGTAACCACCTGAGGCCACGCTGAGCCTCATGGTCTGGGCAGCCGCTGAAGGCCATGGTGGGCCAGTAGATCTGGTAGGGCCTGGATGTGTTATCTTCAGCCTGTATCACCACTGAAGCTCCTGTGAACGCCCGTGCTCAGGGCTGTCACTTGATGTCATGTTAATGTCCAAAGGCACTGGAGAGCTGGTCCCAACCCTCACCAGCCTACGGCATGGGCACTACAGTGCCGGTTGTGGAGGGGACCTGGGAGAGCTGGTCTCACCCTGATCCAGATACCGCATGGCTCTCCTCAGCTGCTGGCTGCTGGCATGGATACGGATGCCGGCAGAGAAAGCCTCATCCTCCCTTGGGGGGCTGGCTACTAGGAATTTGACCACACTGAGGTCAACAGATGGACAACACAAAATGGACCTGCTGTTTGTTTTTGGGGGGAGAAGAGGGGAGGTTACAGGTGAGGGAGCCAGACTGGGAGGCAAGCAGAATAGGGGTATACTATGTGAGATTCCAAATAATAACAACAATAATTAGAAAGAAAAAGAAAAACATAAAAAATAGATTAAATACATCTCAGTTGACAAAGGCAGTTCAAAACCAGAAAGGCTTGCAACAATCTGTGACTACAGTTCCAGGGGGTCTGAAACTCTCTTCTGACCTCCTCTGGCACCAGGAGCACATGTGTTATATAGAGACAAAACACCCATACACATAAAAATAAATTTAAAAAATAGAATTCTACTAAAACTATACCATCTCAAAATTAGGTGCCTCAAAAAATAATATTTAAAAACTCAATTGTCTGTGTTAAAACTGAGGCAAGAATTTTGTACCTAAGGAGAGAACAAAGCTAAAGTCAGGTAGTAAACAAGTCTAAGATTAAAATCACTGTTGGCTCCTGTTTCTGCCACGACAGCACTGTAAAGGCCTCATTCTCACTCTAAGATATCACCAACAAAATGCACGATAGCTGAAGTTAAGTGAACAATTGCTAATTTATCAACATTTATCATGAAGCACGCATGGCAATGGCTACACTGAAACACACCAGACCGAACTGCTACTAACTAACATTTCTCTATGCGATTTCCTCAACAGTCATTTCGTCTCATTTCTTACCTTCAACTTATTTTTTAACTCCAGTTATTATGTAAAATGTGCTGGATGGAAGCCCATGAAAGTAACATGTTCAAACAAAATGAGTAAAAAAGGCACAGACCCAAGAAAAAAGGAGGTGTTATTCCGGGACTCTTCCTTCTCAATTTAAGATGTTTATGTATGTGTGTGTAGAGGAATACCACTTAGTGGTAGGGCTCAGGCTCAGCATGCTTGAGGTCCTGGATCAATCTCCAGAACAAAATCAAACCACCACCAAACACACACACACACACACACACACACACACACCAACACACCAACACAAACACGAGCTAGTTTTAAATTCGATTACTGCTTTGGAGACAAAAGCAACAGGACATCTCTATTTCAATTGTAGGACGAATTTTAAATTATTTTTATTTTAAGATTAAGCATCCTCACTGACAATCCAGAATCAGTCTGTTCTGACAGTTGAGCAATTTCTTAATTTTCAGTGTCAAAGTAGAAAACACACATTCACAAGATGCAGGTCAATTACTGACCTTTTCAGTACATCCACCGGTGGCTACCAAGTCACTTACTGAATCATGAGGAAGACAGTTTTCCAAAAAGCCAATAAAACCCAGGAATATCAAGCTATAATTATCTCCCCAAACACTGGTGTCTAAAGGGGAAGCGCAGGAAGCCCAATTCCTATAGGTGATTAGAGAAGACCCGAGTGTTCAGAGGCTGGGGCCAGAACCATGGCGTTGTCTGTACACAGGTTCAGAGAACATCTGAGGAATAACAGGGCTCTTTCCTATTCCAGCAGAGGAAATAAAAACACACACTGCTGAAGTCAGCACTAAAACTGTTCTTGTCAACAGAAGGCAGGAGAGCAAAGGGAGAAAGTGGTGAACAAATTGGGGCAGAGATAGTTCTGATTCTGAATTTCTCCCCAGGTGAACGGGAGGGGGAGCTCTGAATCAGAATCCTTCATTCTGCTTTTGGCTCTAAATCAGTGCATTCAATACACCATTCATAAATATCAAGTGACCCACAGGGCTTGTGGTACTAAAAGTATTCTAAAATTTACTGGAAATTTCTATTCTGAAAAGTAGTAGATCAAAATGACACTGGGACACTGGTCAGTTACAGAGTAGAAGGCTCCCCCGAAGGGAAGTGAGGGAAGAGTGAACAGAACACAGCCATGGACCGGAGTCTCAGTCCAGTGTCAAAGGAACAGTACTGAGACAGCTCCAACAATGTCAGGCTTCTTGGACATAATCTGAAAGTTTAACTCTTGACCCTCTCCCTAACCTAATGCTTGGGGAAGAAAATAAATATTTACTTTATAACTATCCACAGTTTGGGCATATTATAATATTTAATCTCTTATAGTTCTCATTTCTGAACCTTTGGCATACACTTTTATCAGAATTATGTTACATGGAAAAAATTATGTGCCTTAATCAGTAGTACCAAAGAAAAATATAACCCTGTTCTTCCTTCACACAGGAAGAGTGAATACATGGCACCCTAAATATCTTGCAAGGTCTCTCTGTGTACTTGACAGAAGATTAGGGAAACCATTCCATTTCTATGTGTTTAGCAGAGGAATGG